ATTCAAAGAAATACTCAGAATAGTTCTAAAATAGTTAATTAGACCTAATGAAGACAGGTGCTGTCTAGTAGGATTCCCAAGATTAAGAATTCAAAGAAATACTAAGAATAGTTCTAAAATAGTTAATTAGACCTAATGAAGACAGGTGCTGTCTAGTAGGATTCCCAAGATTAAGAATTCAAAGAAATACTAAGAATAGTTCTAAAATAGTTAATTAGACCTAATGAAGACAGGTGCTGTCTAGTAGGATTCCCAAGATTAAGAATTCAAAGAAATACTAAGAATAGTTCTAAAAAAACCAAAAAAAACACCTTTTTTCCAAAATTTAAACAATCAGAATTTGTTTCAAGATACACAAAACAGTATCAGTCATTTCCCGTGTAAAGTTTTTCAACCACAATTGCTGCTATGAAAAAATTTTGAAACAAATTATTCCTTACATCAATGCACTTTGATTTAATATTCAATCCTTCTTTATTCCTCGGAACAACCATTCTTGTATTGTGGTAGTAATTGTCAAACTTAAATGTTCAATTATTTCAGAATATATTTTAATATGTTGCCTGCTTTCTTCTTCCATCACAACTGGTTAGATAGTTAATATTAGAAAAAAAATTATGTTTTTTGTTTCAGAAAAATATATAAATACCCATTTCTTACACCTACTTTAAAAGAAATGTAGTATTTCAGTGCTGTAAATGGTCAGTTATTTTTTATTTAGAAATGAATATAATGTCATGTAACTTACATTAAACCTGATATTAATGAAATGATGCTGATATCTTGTAAAAATATTATGTGTAGTCTTTGAACTAACAAGTATTATATACATAAAAAACAGTTATATGTTAGTACGAGATAATTCAACTTCACAAATTCTTGTAATATGAGCCGATGTTACTTAATTAATACAATAATTATTGTTACTTATTATTTCCATTTCCCCTTTCAAAACACATAACAAAGACTGCACAGTATTTAAGACAGAGATGAAATATTACAGGATAATTTAAACCTTACTGTATAATATTGACTGTACACCTTACAAAGTCTGCTTAACTTATAATATTGAGAAACCTCTAGATGACTTCTACTGATCTTCTTTTTGTAAACTTTGACTGTTTACTGTTTCTGTTGCTCACGTCAGAAGGTGTCAAATTCATTTTCCTCAGTAGCTGTAATCGTCAAGCACGGGTGTGACATAATGTTGTTGTGCATCAACGTGTGATTACCACACCACCGTACTATAACTTTTATTGTTCCATCTAAGAAGTTAGAGCCCACCAAATTTGGAGTTCTTACCTTCCTGCCAGCTGTGATCAATATGGCGGCCATTACTAACTGTTCCATTCGTTACCATGGTAACTGGGTGATTGTTCACAAATACTTTTGGTTTGTTTGCCATAACTTGTGATGAAGTAGCACTTCCTGAAGAGCTGGCTAGAATGATATGTGAATGATGGTGACCTGTAAGAATAAGTTTGTCAGCTAATCAATTGTATAAGTGAATCACAATACAATAAAAAACAACAACACAGTTCTACAACTGTATATTAAGAATTATCTTTACTCTACTGCTCCCTAAAAATAAGTGATAAAATACCTCAATTCTCGGAGCTGGTGTTAACCCAAAATATTCATATTTAATCTTACAAAATATTATGGTTTCCTGCAAAGTTTACGGTTCTAAACTTGCAAAATAAGAGAGTTTACAAATCAGATGCATGTGATCATCAAGTATTTCATAATAATTTGGTATGAAACGTTACATGTCAAAAGTTTGATGTACAAAACTTGTCACAACTTTCCTCAAACACCTGTTTTTTTTTACACCTGTATTGGGTAAATGGTTCATTTTTCATATAAAACATGTTAAGAATGTTTATATCAAAATGTTTAAGTTGTGTTTAATTCTGATATTTAGCATAAACTATGTCCTCTCACTAAAATCTTCTGTCGAGAAACATTTCAAGTTTTTGTTAGTTCCCAGGAAACTTTAGCAAAGCCTGTTTTTCAGTCCCCAGATCATTATTATACTTTAGACTTTAACATTTAAAAACCAGAGAATATTAAAATAAAAAAAGGTTATATGTTTGTTTTGAATACCTACATATATTACATAAACTATTTTAAAATTTCATTAACTTTTAACCATATTAATACAATGCAAGAAAATAAACATTACATTTACGTACAAAGTAAACCCTCATTAGTCCAGACACTGACAATCAATACAGTGCAAGAAAATAAACCCAATTACATTTGTGTATACAGTGAACCCTTGTTAGTCCAGAAACTGACAATCCAGATGACTGTTGATGCAGATAAATCTTCACAACAGGAAACTTAATCAATAATCCATATATTCGTGTTCTCAATCCAAACAGCTATTACTTATAACAAACACATATTTTCTATGATTGAATTATTCTGTAATCTGTACATGATTCCACAAGATTCAAGTAGAGGTAAATCAGAACAGTAAACAAGGTGATAAGTACTGACCACAAAACACCTGCAATAACTACCAGTTTACAACAGTTTTTCTGACAATGACCGTCACTTGAACTGGGTACCTGTCACATCAAGTCACAGTGAAATAACAGCATCATTAAAATGTTTGTTTATACAAGAAAGCAAATCTAAATGCAAGCTTTGATACCATTAGTAAGCATTTCAACGTAGAAAGCAATGTTCTCACGGGCGAGTTAACCACAGCTGAAATTCTTCATGGCACAGAAAAATGGATAAATATTCCAGAAGGTTCAGGTTAACAAGTAAGGGCAAGACAGAGCATGCAAACATGGAGCAGGTCCAGGTTAACAAGCAAGGGCAAGACAGAGCATGCAAACATGGAGCAGGCAGGTTAACAAGTAAGGGCAAGACAGCATGCAAACATGGAGCAGGCAGGTTAATAAGTAAGGGTAAGACAGAGCATGCAAACATGGAGCAGGTCCAGGTTAACAAGTAAGGGCAAGACAGCATGCAAACATGGAGCAGGTTCAGGTTAACAAGTAAGGGCAAGACAGAGCATGCAAACATAGAGCAGGTTCAGTTTAACATATAAGGGCAAGACAGAGGATGGAAACATAGAGCAGCCAAGGTAACAAGTAAAGGCAAGACAGCATGCAAACATGGAGCAGGCAGGTTAACAAGTAAAAGCAAGACAGAGCATGCAAACATGGAGCAGGCAGGTTAACAAGTAAAAGCAAGACAGAGCATGCAAACATGGAACAGGTCCAGGTTAACAAGTACAGGCAAGACAGAGCATGCAAACATGGAGCAGGTCCAGGTTAACAAGTATGGGCAAGACAGATCATGCAAACATGGAGCAAGGTCTGTATCCTTGGTTGTGTGATAATACATCAAGAAATGTACGTGTTAATGAGAACATGCTTGTTGAGAAAGCTGATCAACTTGGAGGACATCTTGGTGTAACAGTTCAAAGGACATTTTGAAATACAGAAGATGAAGTTGGAAGGAGGTGGAGTAGGTAATAATGACGTTATGTCAGCTGATCATCAACTCAGCAGAGCCAGTTGGTCAAGATGTATCAGATGAAGAAACTATTTTCATCGTATCTTTTCAAGAGTGTGGTGATAGCGTATACGATGTTGAAAGTGATCCGTCAGTCTAGCCAATCAGTCTGAATAGAGCACAATCTAGCCTTAAAAAAAATTCATCACATGGTTCATACAAAACAGTGATTTATGGGAAAATGATGACATAATGTGTTACTTTCTTAAAGCCTTTGAGAAGCTTCACAAAGAAAACCTTTCAGCTGTGAATACAGCTGCTTTCTTGTTTATCAGTTAGATGCCCACCCTTAGTAGTTTGCACTGTTACATTTGTTAATCAGGAACTCTGCTGTTAATAGTGTCCACTGTAATCAGAGTGACTGATTCAACTATCCTGATGTCTTAGTAATTTGGAAGAAATAGTTATGTACAAATAAATTCTGATTAATGAGGTGTCACTGTATGTGACGGTTGCATGAGTATGTGTCACTGCGTGTAACAGTTACACGAGTATTTCTTTCAGTAACTTTTATTTCTGATTTAATTTTGTTTTTATCTAAATGTAGATATGATTAAAACATTTTTACAGATAAACTTTTACGAAGTGGAAACACTCAGAATAAATTTCCAGAGTAAGAAACATCATTTATGACACGTGTTCACAAACTGAAAGGTTTTACTTTGTAGCACTTAAAATCTTCACAGCTGTGCTGATGAAGGAACAGCTACATACGTTTCCAGCCACAGCTGTGCTGATGAAGGAACCATTGCACACATTTGCAGACACAACCGTGCTGATGAGGAGCTGCTACACATTTGCAGACACAGCTGTGCTGATGAAGGTACAGCTACATATGTTTCCAGACACAGCTTTGCTGATGAAGGAACTGCTACACGTTTGCAGACACAGCTGTGCTGATGAAGAAGCTGCTATATATATTTGCAGTCACAGCTGTGCTGATGAAGAAGCTGCTATATACGTTTGCAAACACAGCTGTGCTGATAAAGGAACTGCTACACATTTGCAGACACAGCTGTGCTGATGAAGAAGCTGCTATATATACGTTTGTAGACACAGCTGTGCTGATGAACAAACTGCTACACATTTGCAGACACAACTGTGCTGATGAACAAACTGCTACACATTTGCAGACACAACTGTGCTGATGAACAAACTGCTACACATTTGCAGACACAACTGTGCTGATGAACAAACTGCTACACATTTGCAGACACAGCTGTGTTGATGAAAAGAGCTGCTACATACATTTGCAGACACAGCTGTGCTGATGAAGGAACTGCTACACATTTGCAGACACAACTGTGCTGATGAAGGAACTGCTGCACATGTTTGTAGACACAGCTGTGCTGATGAAGGAACTGCTAAATGTTTGCAGACACAGCTGTGCTGATGAAAGAACAGTTACATATGTTTCCAGACACAGCTGTGTTGATGAAAAGAGCTGCTACATACATTTGCAGACACAACTGTGCTGATGAACGAACTGCTACATGTTTGCAGACACAACTGTGCTGATGAAGGAACAGCTACATATGTTTGCAGACACAGCTGTGCTGATGAAGGAACTGCTGCACATGTTTGTAGACACAGCTGTGCTGATG